GACATACTGATCCGTTCCGCCTGCCTATAGTTGAAACGATGCCCCCTAGGTAAGTGAAGGTGGTAATCTCTGTTAAATTTCTCCCGTTGATGGTGCTGGTTGATTATCTTCATCACCGTCTCCACCTTCTCTGTGTCCACCTGCAGTCCTGTCTTCGTTGCCTCTTCAGCCAGTTTGTTGTTTTTCACCTGTAAGTCTTCGAGTTTGTGTGACATTAGACATATATCATCCACAAGCGAAATCCAGATCTTCTAGTTTTCTTATCGGTGATCCAGAGTATTCTGGTTTCTTCATTCCCAATGCACATTCCGACGCATAATCCAGTCCACCACAATTAAGAATATCATCGGTGATAATAGGCAGCTAGCCAGCTTGTCTTACCCCTGCCCCCACTTCGAACGCCTCGCTGAGTTTCCCATTGTGGATCACTTGACACGTGGCACTGCCATGTAGCCAGCTGTCGAATGAGGTCGATAAAGACTTTGGCACTCCACACCGTAGTGTTGAAGCAGTTTCCAAATTGCTTGTCGGTCAACGCTGTCTGTCAAAGTTGAGGTAGAGATTTGACCACCATTCTATGCTTTGGTCTGTGATGACGATGAGTAGAACTGCAATTTAATCAGCCTCTCCTGAATCCAGCTTGTTGTGGCGGGCGGAGTTCTGCACCTAGTGCATCTTTTATTCTCTCCAGGATGACGCAACTTAGTATTTCACTCGGCGTGGTCAAGACCATGATTCCACGCCAGTTCTTGCACAGAGAGTTCTAAGTCGCCCTTTTTTCGCAGTTTGACGAGGTAGTCCTTCTTCCACTCAGTTGGCGCCTTTCCTTCTTTCCAAACCTTGAGCAGTAATGGCGTGAGCACGCCTGCGGCAGTCTCTGGGCCCGTTTTCAGTATTTTGGGAGGAATTCCGTCTGGGCCTGCTGCCTTCCTGCTTTGTCTTCAATAGCTTGATCGCATTTAGGATTTCTGCTTTCATTGGAGGATTGGTGTCCACTAGCAGGCAGTTCTGTGTGCTGTCGGTGTTGGTGGTATTTCTAGGTATAATGTCCTGAGATCTATTTTCCCTGCAGACTGCCTGTTTCGCTCCAGTTTCCAGTGTGTCGTTGAATTGTCGTTTCTAGCACTCTTCTTCACCTCTTTCTCGATTCAGTGCAGTGCACATTGAACTCAGCTTCTCCTTCTGTTGCCCATCATTGCATTGTGTCATCTTCTCTCTCAACATCCTCTTCCATTCCATCAGCTTCCAGGTGTCCGTTGAGAGCCTTTCCTTGTCTTGTCTCTTCTTTCTTCCCAGAACAGTTGTCCACGTTTCCTTGAACATCACCTTCAGAGAGTTAGTACGAATGTTTTTCCACACAGGTTTCCTCAATGATACCATGTAGTGTCTTCGAATTTGCTGTAATCTGATCTGTAGTGAAGGCGTCCCTTGAAGTTGTGTCCTTCAGTTTCTGAATGGTGAACTTGAATTGTGGTCTATCTCCAGTTGTTTTGAGGGATTTCAGCTTGGCATTGAAGGTTCCTTGAACTAGATGATGGTCTGAGCCCACATCTGCTCCCCTTCTCGACTTTGTATCCAGCAGGCTGCGTCTCCACTTCCTTGAGATAGATATAAAATCTATTTAGTTTGTGGTCAGGCAAAATCCATGTTGCTTTGTGTATATCCTTGTGCTTGTACACACTGGCTGCCTACGACTACCAAATCATTCAAAGCGCAGAAGACTGAGAATAGTCCTCCGTTCTCATTCACTTCTCCGAGTCTCTCGGGCCATGATGAATTCTCTTCTTCACGAGCATAAATCAGTATAAAATAATCTGTGCTCGTACAACCAAGTACAGGAACTCAACGATACCATACTTGGCCGGTGTTCTAAGCGACAGAGACAATGTTAAGCGCGAAACCTATGACTTGCTTTGTTGTTAATAACATAATTTTAGGCTCTTTTATTACTCTCTTATTTTGCATTCTATAATGAACTCCTTCTTAAACATACTTAGCTACCTAAATTATTAACATTGACTTACTTTTTGTACTTTACTGTATTTCCTTCTTTTGTGTATCTACTGGTTCCGACTATATTAGCTCTATGAGTAGTACAAAATTTTCCTGTCATTAACCATCATGTAATTATTAGTTTTTGTCGTTGTTTTTTCTTATTTTTTTCGGCAATATTAACTGACAATCATTGGTTGTGAACGCCATTGTCACCACCTTAAAATTTTGTATTATGCAGGATTACTCACACTACCACTACAAACACTGCATTAGACCTGACAATAAAAAACAAAACAACAACCCTGAAATGTTATTTTATGATTGTTTAGAGTTGTTTCAACCAAATTAACTGACCATCTTGGCGATAAACATTCTTAAATATCAGTTCATAACTTCTTGTATGACTATAGCTTTACTGTCACCATGCATAATCATATCATAGCTTCCACTACCCAATACTGAGTTATTATTAAATGCTGTTTATTTTCCTTTCTACTTCTTGGTATTTTTTCGCATTTTTGAAAAAATTATTTGTGTTTTTCCTGTTTTTTTGCTGTTGGTGTCTTTATATTTATTTTTTTGAAATACTCCTTTTAAATGTTTGATAAAATTAGATGCAAATATTGTAGATATGTGCTGAAAATTCCACACTGTACCACTAGTACTGTTTCTGGAATAAAGCAAATTATTATTATTATTATCTGCTTCCAGTTCAGATGGCATTCATATCTCCCATAAGGACTTTGATGCCACCATTCAGGATGTTGTCCATTACTCTTTGCAACTGTCGGCAGAATTCTTCCTTCTTCTCTTGTTCCGCATTGTTTGTAGCACTCTGCGTTGCATTGGATAATTGTAACCTCCTTTCTTTTTCAGTCGAATCTCGCTGTCATGATCCTGCATGAGGAGATTGGTTTCCACTGCATCAGAGCTTTGACGATGTCATGATAGTCACTTACTGTCTCAGTGTCTTCGTGGTTGTCATATGGGTGGCCAGAGTAGACTACTGACTCTCCAGCTGACAATTTTGACAATCCGCATCTAGTCCATCTGCTCTCGCAGATACCCAGAACTTCTATGCCATATCTTCACATTTCTTTGGCCACCTGGGCAGCCTTCCCAGTCTCGTATATTGTACGGACATTCCACGTCCCCATTCTTATTCTTGCTTTCATCGAGAAAAGACGCATAGGTTCGCTGACTGGCTGTCCGGAGGCTTTCACCAGCCCACGTCATTTCGCTTCTTCTATTCAAGCGAAGAATAAGATTGTTGTTATTTGAAGTTTTTGTATTTTTAATATATTTTTGTGTGTTGAATTTTCTCTAGCAGTCTGATAGTTTTAGTGGTGTGGGGTTGCTAGCCCCACGCCCTCTGTCTTTACCCGGGCTTGGGACCAGCTAGAAAACTAGCAGCCAGTTAATTAGGCGAGTTTACTATTGGCAATAAGGTATATAACTGATCCAATGCCAATAAACTAATTAGTCCCATATTCGCGTAGTCGGACAAATTCTACTCCTTGAGTTCCATTCATCTAGCTGTACAATTGGTGATCACCGTTTGGAGACGATGAGAAAAATATTTAACAATTTCATTTGTACAGTTGATTTTAATAAGGCCTGATGTTTACACACACAAACTGATTTTATCCAAGTATTATAATCAGTATTGTGTTCCATGCTGTTTTATTCGTTAATACGAACTCAAATTCTTGGAAATATAAATCAATAATGTTAATGTCCTGAAAATGCAACACTCAATAGAGAAAAAATTCAACTTCTTCAGTTGTTATCAATCAATAGTAGTGGTACCATTTTTAACGGCAAAAAGGTTACGCGAAAAACGTGATGACTGCTTGCTTTTAAAACTCAGTCTAGGTCAAAAGTAACAGCTCTTCATGTGATATAACAAAACAACAGATAAAAATTGATAATATACAACTAATCAATGAGAAGTAGTTCGATATATAAAAAAATTTAATGCCATATTTAGCATAATAAACAGGATCTATAGAAGTTGGAAGGGGAGTAAGATTATAGGATTAGTAGGCAAACAGAATGAAAACAAAACTTGGAATTCTAAAGTGACTTAGCTGCCGACATCATTAACAGAAGGATCTCACAGTCCCTGAAAAGGACATTCCCTTCTGCATCGTTGAGAATAGCATTTTCTAGTCGACCATTACTGTTCAATAACCTAAAGGACAAGATCCCGCAGTTGACCAACTCTGTGTTTGTTTATCAATTCATCTGCTCATGTGGAGCTAGGTATATCGGTCGTTCGATTCGATTTTTGTCAAAGAGGATGCAAGAACATTATCCTGCATGGTTACGAAGAGGTGAAAGTGCATCTATACGAAACGCGATCATTGAACATCTGGTCGATACTGATCACCCTATCTGTACAGCCGCAGCCTTTTAAGTTATCCACAAGGCGACAAATAATTTGCCCAAATCATTACGCATTTGACTCACCTGTATTGCTGAAGCTTTGATCATCGAAATAGAAAAACCAGATTTCCGTATACAGAAAAAGTTCATTCAGCGCCTCCAACTATAATGGTCTTAATCCCTCTATGATAAAGTATGATAATCCCCATTCATATTTTGGCTCTACTTATTTTTTTTGTTTATTCAGTTTGCATACTCTTCCCTTATCACGTCAACTGTTACTATTATTATTCTCACTTTAAATTGTCCCCTGTATTATTTCACTCGTCCCACTTGTCATTCTTAGTCAATTTTTTTGTTTCGCAAAGTTAAATTTCACACAATGTTATGTAACGTTTTTATTTCTATTCTATTTGCCTACTAATTCTATAATTTAAACCCCCCTTTCAACTCATATACATCCCATGAATTGTCCTATATATCATATATTAATTGTTTTGCCACTTGACAATTAACTATGATTATGATCACAAACATTTTAATTGCATTTCATGCAAAAAGATAACAGTAAGTCAAAAAAATAACTTTTTATTAGACAATTATAATTTCATTAAATACTGACAGAATACAATAAGGTAAGGTAAATGATCATATGTATGCACTTGTACATCTCAAGAGTAGTGCTCTTCAGAAAAATATATCAGACAATTAATTCTTGACAATTGTGGAGTATAAGGTGGTTGCATACTTCCATCTTTAGAGAGCTTCAGATATAGACATCGATGAATCTTAACTGTTATAATAACACAAGTTTGATTGACCAGTGAGTTAGATGAGATAGATCTACACATATAATTGATCTCAGAGACCCAGAACATCTCCATATCATAGTAATAGTAACTGCCACCCACAGTGTGAACACTCCAACAAAGTACAAATGTTACACATTGATTAATAGTTAAAAGAGATAACATGAGGTTCTTTAACCACATAAAAGTGCTGGCGTCAAACTGTCAATTGCAACTTTAGAGTGCAGTACAACCTTAAAACCTAAACAAGTAAATCATTGTATACGTATTAGGATACAAATCATAACTCAGTGCTTGAAATTACAAGCACTTACATTACTAAATCATACATACCTTCAGTAAAAAGGAGGTTATTTTTATAAGAATGCTTCTAGCGACGTTGAAATTGTTTTAATAAAATACTGATGGTCAATTTCAATAGTTACTAAAAACAAAGGATACTAACCTAAACTACTTAACTAGGGCATTACTTTAGAGTATAACTTCATAGGAGATAACTTTATATACATAATACATTCTGTACACTGTAGCTCTAAGGCTGAGAAACTAAATACTTAAAGGCAGTCATACAAAAATGTTGCCTGAGTAGAACTCAAGATATGTACTGCCATCATGGTTAAGATATGCACAGTTAAACTCTCCTTTGTAATGAAACCAAAATTGTTAAGTTGTGAGAATTATACACGAGAACTTTCGCTTCGCATTTTCATGAATACAGTCAGCTAATAAGACATCTGTGTTAACTACCGAAATGTAACATACAAACGATTGTCACATAAAACCAACTCCGAAACCAATAAAACAACTAATTGTTTTAGTAATTTCTTGAACAATAAAATTCTGCAGTATGCCAGTAGTTTCAGGTTGGTTTTCTAGCTGTACTTCAATGTTCAAGCACGACAACTTTCATTTCAATAGATATTGGGCTATGATTTCGCGATATTTGGCATTTTAGTAGAATCTATTGCAATTTTCCATGAGTAGAATATTCTTTAGGGCTTGATTCTTGCAAATAGGACGGTATGGGAAACTATCCAGATGGGATATCAGTAAATTGTACAGATATCCACAGCCACTAATTCATTCACTTAGTAATTATATGTAATAATCCCAAGATGCTAATGGCAAGGCAGATTTAACTCTTTTCTAACTATAGAAATGCGTTAGTTGGATACCTTTGAGTCGAAAATGAGCTCTCATCATCGCACTAACTCATCGAGAGATTTAATTCTCTGAATCACACCTGTTTCTAAGCTATCTAGTGAGATTGCACTTACGTTCCTAATATCATTTCTTGCATTGTTTAACACTGGAAAAAAAAACTCTAGCACTACAAACTTAACTGTCCATTAGCATCTCAATTTTCGAATTTGATTTGGATCATACGACGTTTAGAGCTTTAGAAGACTGTCTAGCATGTTGCATTTTTAAAATGCCTCAGGAATCAAAGATGTTAGCATTTGTGTGGTTACTTGTAACCATCACAATGATATCTGCTACAGGGGCACACAGTAAATCCAATGTCACCACACCACAATGTATGGCATTCAACACATTTCAGAAAGCTGACTATGAAACTGGATTTTACCGACAAGAGGTTTTTATGGAATATTTATGATCAGTACCAACAGAAACTTGGTGCTACCTACCGATCGATTGAATTAGAGTGCACGATTACAAGCGATAAAAGATCTATTTGGAATATACAATTAAGGCTATCTTCCACTTGAAGTTCATCCAGTAAGATCAGAATACAAATATATCCTCTTCCCAATAAAAATGTTCTATTAGGTATTAATTTCTTGACACATAAAAATGCTTCCCGACAAATCGGTGTGTGGTGCATGCAGTTCACAACTAAATTTTGATGCACTTGTTGATAAAGTATGCACCATTTGTAGAATCAAGTTTAACAAAACCGTTGGACTAGTTCACGTGTTTGCATTATTGTCTATCTAAAAGGAAGCGATTATTAAGACAAGTATTTAGTTGTAATATATGTTCTTCATTATTGCAAACTAACATCTCATTTAACCATTACAATAAACACTAGTAATCAAAAATAGAACTAATGTATTGATATGTTAATGACAACCATAGTATTTTCGATCTACAATTTATCGAAACATAACACGCTCTGTACCACTCAGTCTTTTCATCTCAGATTCCGATATGAACTCTGAAATTCATTTCTAGGATATTTTATTGAAAAAGAGATCTGACGGTTTTATTCAGAGATCAATCTAGAGGAAACTAACATGCATTGATCAAAACATAGATTTTTATCATTGAATCCTTTTGAGAGGAAAAAGAAATCTGACCAACTCTTTATCTTCAAGAGTAAAAAGGATATGGATCAGTGATACAATCATTAATGAACTGGAGAGATTCACACAAGTCCTCATTGAAAATAGATATCCTACAGGACTCGTCGAGGAAAACACGAAAGTAGAACAGAAACCGGAAATAATCTAAGCGATACCGAAGAAACTGTTGTTTATAAGTGTTGAATTTAGGAGTGATACCACAACTGAAATTCTGAAAATCCAATTATCCAGATCGCTGAGAAAATCGTTCCTGATCTACTGATCAAATTCTACAATATGTGAATTATCAATGGATATGTGAGGAACACAGTGCCACTTTAGTGTACGTTTTTAAATTCACTTGCTCCTGTGTACATTGTGCAAACGCATTGCTGAGCATTATCTAGCACGGCTATCAAGAGAACGACGCAAATCAATTACTCTCTTCAAAAACA